GCTCAATTCCATGTCCAGACACTCAAATCCTAACATGTGTTCTCATTTCTTTGGGGGTTTCAGATTCATTCAGCCGCGTTCTGCTTGCCTTCTTTCGCCAAGAAGGTAATTGAGTCAAAAGCCAACTGAAAAAGGGAAAGAACTAATCTGGAGGATCGTTGAATTTATAAAAATAAAAGTTCTTTGCAATTTTCAGAATGTTCTGTTGTTTCAAACCATGTCTTCTTTTAGCATAATAGCATTACACATCGCATGTTTTTAGTTGTTGCCTTGAAGCTGGGAAAGTTAATAAGCTTTATGCCTTCGTACCATTTATTTATTTAAAGATTCAAACTTTGGATTGATCCAAGTAAAGTCGCTAAGTAGGAGGAGGTTTAGCTTGTTCTACATCACCCTTTTTCTCCAGAACCCTGGTTTAACAATCATGATAACAAACAACACAAGCCACCCATTTAAGCACATTCCCTACACAAATCAAACCCACATAGAGACCAGTGTACAACACTCCATTTCCACTCCAACTCTGACTGCATTTGGAGTATAAACATGGTATCCTCATCGCAAGAGCGAGGACTAAGAACACAAGCATCATCCAGAGGTCACGCTTCTCGTGTCCTCTTCCATACCAAGCTGAAAGAGACAGAGCATCGCTTCCGTAGATGCCTTGACCATCTTCATCCTCCTCTAAGACCGAAACAACCATACCCATGTTCCATCCCGCGCTCCATTTGCTGAACTTTGCAGTCAGAAAAATGAAGACAGTATCAGAACCACCATCACGTGGAACAACATTGCTCCTAGATCGCGAAAGCTTTCGTGTTCGCGTGAGAGAGAAGCAATGAATAAGTAGTTGGTCGAATCAGAGAAGAAACCGAAGAAAACAGAGGTTGACCAGAGTAGGACATAGAGAGATGTGATCAGACAACCTCCTACTCTCTTCTTACATATCTTGACAGATCTCCGAACCAAATAAAGCAGCCCCAACGGTTTTTCTTCGGATGTGTAAACAATCGAAGAAGCTGCAACGACCGTGGTGGTGGTGAGGAGGTCTGAACCAGCCATGGAATCAGATCATTCTCCGACAAGTCCTCATGATATTTAAGAGCGGAGTAACCCGCAAAACTGAGTTGTTGGGAGATGAATTGGAAAGCGAGTGAGATTGTTGTTTGGAGGGAAAGCTCGAAGAGGATCAAGAAACAAAAGAGAGGAAGAGAGCAGAGGAAGAGGAAGAAAGCGAGATTGATGTCGCCGAAGAGTAGCTTTGCAGCACGCTTTAGTAGTTCGATGACACTTAGCTTTTCGCCCATCTTCACCTCCATTGATTTGGTGCTCTGTATCTTACATTAAAAGAAGAAGAAAGGGCAATCACAGATGTGGAATTTGTGATGTGTTGCTAGTAGAATATGTGAGTAGTGATTAGTCTTCCATTACAATAATGGTCGTCCTTCATTGACGTTGACTTGGTCTATAAGTATGTAATGTTGGAATAGTAGTGGAGGTTTACTAGATAAGAGCATCAAGTCTATCAGATGAACGACTTCTGATTTGGTCCACAAGTTAGATAGAAATGAGCAAAACCAAGATTTTGAGTTCCACCATCGACAAAATTGCATTATAGACACAAGAATGCCCGGTTTTCTACATTCTTCAGGATTAGTATGAGTTTTGGCTTAAGATCTGTCCATTAATTATCAAAGAAACAAAGCAAAATCTTACATTGATATAAGCTAGTAGAGGGATTTCTTGAATTAATTTGGCAAGCTATGAACAATAAGGAAACTAGGAAAGCAAATACGACCTGACCAAAAGTGGAAGGTTAAACAATTGGTGATAAAGAAATTGTGAAAGGGACAATAATTGCATTACACAACACATACAACATGTTTTTTTTTGCTTTTGCGTTGAAGCTGGGAAATTTAACAAGCTTTTTTATTTTTTAATATCTAAAGATTATTCAAACTTTGAATTGATTTTAACCAAACTCTTTCAAGTAGCAGGAAGTTTAGCTTGTTCTACATCACGCTTCTTCCTCAAAAACCTAGTCTTACAATCATGGTATGGTAACAAACAACACAAGCCACCCATTTAAGCACATTCCCAACACAAATCAAACCAACATATAGACCAGTGTACAACACTCCATTTCCACTCCAACTCTCACTGCATTTGGAGTATAAACATGGCATCCTCATCGCAAGAGCGAACACCAAGAACATCAACATCATCCATACGTCACGCTTCTCAAGCCCTTTTCGATACCAAGCTGAAAGAGACAAAGCATCGCTTCCATAGATGCCTTGACCATCTTCAGCGTCTTCTTCTAAGACCGAAACAACCAAACCCATGTTCCATCCTGCGCTCCACTTGGTGAACTTTGCAGTCAGAAACATGAAGAGAGTACTATGAACTAGAACCACCAGTGCGTGGAGCAGCACCGCTACTGGGTCAAGCATGGTATGTCTTATGCGTGAGACAGAACCAAAGATTGAGTAGTTGGTAGGATTAGAG